TAGAATCATATTTTTTAAATTATTTTTTATTGAAGCTGGGTGTTCACCTAAGCAGTGTGGTTGCAGTATGCCTCAAAGAAGTTCATACGATCTCAAATTACTGAGAAAATTCGAAATATCATTGCTCTTTAATAATTTAACTTGGGTAGATAGTTGGGTCTTTATTTTTTTGAATTTTCTTTTTCAAAATGTATATACTTGTGAGTTATTTACTTTTTGCCACTGGTGTACACTGTACATAAATAATGTAATATATTCAATTAGTTTAACTTAAAACTTTTATTTAATAATACTTTATAGATATTCAATTTTGGAAAGAACGTAAGTCATTGGAAGGTTTATCCGTACGTGCAGTATTTTTTAATGTTTTTCAATCCGTCATTGTGTTATTGTATGTGCTTGATAATGATACAAACACAATCATTCGCATCAGTTGTTTTGTCGGGTTGGGTATTGAATGTTGGAAAATCAATAAGGTAAAATACATAAATATTTTTTGAATTTAAATTGACAGTTAATTACATTGCATTTTTGTATGTCTTAGGTGTTGGACATAAGCATTKATCGGCAAACACGGTATTTAGGTATTATTCCAAAACTTACATTTAAAGAAAAAGGGTCTTATGCTGAATCTAGCACTAAGGAATATGATCGAGCTGCATTTAAATACTTATCATGGGTACTATTTCCTCTCCTTGCTGCATATGCAATTTATTCACTTGTCTATGAAGAACATAAAGGATGGTATTCTTGGGTACTAAATATGTTGTACGGTTTTCTTTTAATGTTTGGTAAGCATTGTTTGTTTTACTTAGTGTAAAGTAAAATATAGCCTATTAAAATTATTTTTAACTCAATTTTTTAATATTATTTTATTATACATTTGTTACATTCTTTCAGGTTTCATTACTATGACTCCRCAATTGTTCATTAATTATAAGCTCAAGTCTGTAGCACATCTTCCTTGGAGAATGATGTCTTATAAGTGTTTAAATACATTCATTGATGATATATTTGCATTTGTCATTAAAATGCCAACAATGTACCGTTTGGGATGTTTTAGAGATGGTATGTAAAATTATTGAAACTACTATAATATCTTATCTAACTCCACTCACTTATCCTTATGCTGGTACTTGAGTTGTTAGATTTTATTATGTTAATTAATAAGTCCTCAATGGTACAATATTATTTTTATGAACTTTTCACTTTATGATTTACYTTTATCTATTTGTACATGTAATTTATTTATAAACTAACTCTCAACTTCTCTTAGTACTGGAGGCCTTGAAAACGAGAAATWAGTTTTCAGGAAAATTAATATCAGAACGACATTTTTGATTAACACTATTCAACAAGACCTCTATTTAATGTGAATAATTTTACCAGRAGATTACATTCTCAAACCATCCTACACAGAACTGTAGGTAACTGTAGGAACGGTATTTTAAACTACGCCAATGATACCTGCCTGGCACTCGCTTGATGTGCTGCAGCTGCGCTCTGTCAAAAAAAAAAAAAATATATCCCTTGACTTGTTATACAACACCACCTTAAGTTGGTCACAGGGTAACCACGAGTATACCAAGTGCTTATCAAACTGTCCTGATAAAATCTGTCTCGAAAAGTATGGTTCTTACCAATATTAATCCCAAAAAATTGTGTTACAATTTACATACTCATTTAAAGGATACTTGCCTCTACTTATCATTCATTCAAAAAGTTATTCCTTGATAAATTCTGGCTTGAATAGTACGGGTCCCAGTAATTATTATCTTGCTTTTTACACGAGCCCGCTGTAATTCACTTGAAAATTAAAATATTAAGAAAGAAAAAAACAGATAATCTTTTTACTTTTAAATTTGATGTTAATACACTTTAATATTGAAATTAACAACACAATATTTTAACACCATTTCCCCTGTCATACGATTGTAAGACAACCACACATGTGTGTATCCTTTTTAATTTGATATGATAACATTATATATTCGTCATCATATATTTTATCACAATTTATTATATTGAAACCACTGCTAATCTTCAGACTTCTCTACTTAACTAGGTATGTAACCTGGGTAACTTTTGATAAACTAATACAATGTTAATAGTATAGGATATGTTAACTAATACATAAAGGCAAAATAGTAGTGTTTTTTTTTAAATTCTTTTAAAAAAAAAAGTATACTCGCTAAAATATTTTTTTCATTTATTGTAGTATTAAAATGAATAACAATAACTTTAAAAAATAAAATGCATTTTATATATTTTTTTCTTATAATTTAAATATTCTTTACTCTATGAAGTATTCTCAAATGTGTAGAAAGAATTTTTCTTATGAATTTTTTATTAATCGTTCACATTTTTACTCTTGTAAGACTGCATAAATTTAATAATGATGTATAAAAACATATAAGTCTGGACTTTAATCATAACATTAATTTGTAATTGTTAGTATATATTTTCTATTCACCCTTTCTATATTGACTATTGAGGTTGTAAAAAATCATTAAATAAAACACTATATTTATGTTTTTTTTTGTTTTTAGATATTGTATTTTTCATATTTTTGTATCAAAGATGGATATATAGAGTAGATCCCACTAGAGTAAATGAATTTGGATATGCTGCCGAGCCTATTGAAGAACAGCCACAAGCTATTGAAGAAAAGATACAAGCCATTGAAGAAAAACCACAAGAAGTTGAAAAAGAGAAACCTAAAGATGATAAAAAGAATGATTAATACAATCTTCACAATCAACGTGTTTTACAGTCAGTAGATGTATTTTGTTTTAATTTCTTTTTTTTTTTTAAATATTTAATATACCTACCAAAACAAAATTATAAAAATATATCAATTTACATAAAGTACTGCTTTAGTAATTTAATAATTTACAAAGATTATTCAACTATTATTGTAATAAGTTAGTAAG